TACAGCCTGTGCTGTTAGGGGAGAAACTACGGCTGATGCAGGTGGATGAATCCATCATCACATGGACAATGGACTATCTGACTGGACGACCCCAGTATGTGCGACTGCAGGGCTGTGTCTCAGATAAGGCTGTGTGCAGTGTTGGGGACCCCAGGGGACTGTGTTAGTGCCATTCCTGTTCAACCTGTACACCTCTGACTTCAGGTACAACACAGAGTCGTGTCATCTGCAGAAATTGTCGGATGACACAGCCATTGTGGGGTGCATGAGGAATGGACAGGAGGAGGAATACAGGAAGCTGATGAAGGACTTTGTTGACTGGTATAAGCTGAACCAGCTGCAGCTAAACATCAGTAAGACTAAGGAGACGGTGCTGGACTTTAGGAAGTCCAAACCTGCCTGTCACCAGTCACCATTGAAGGAGCTGTTGTGGAGGTGGTTGGGACATATAAATGTCTGGGTGTGCACTTGGACAACAAGCTGGACTGGAGCTGTACCACTCGCAGCAGTGTACAGTTCATCCAGTGCTTCTGCAGGATTAGCTCATAGCTGAATGTGCACAGCTGCAGGAGAGTACTGACAATCCCTACTATCCCAGTAACAGTAAAACACTGTTACTGTACAGAAACTTTAATTTAAAACCCTGATTCCTACAAAGCCAAAAACGGACCAGCCCCTCCCAACCTGATGGCAATGGTCAAAACTCTAATTGTACCTCAAGCCCTTCGAGCTTTGAGTACAGCTCGGCTTGACCCGCCGTCCTTCAAGACGCATGGAAGGCAAGCATCAAGACTGTTCCCTGTCCTGGAGCCCCTGGAACTCCCACTGGCTGTCCGAACAGCAGAGTCCCTCATGGTCTTCAAACACAGACTGAAGACCGTCTCTTTATACAGCACTTAAGTGAGCACTGAGTTAAGTATGTATTGTATTGCACTGCTCTGTGTTCAACTCTGTCCCTTTGTCTCTAAGTGTCAATGACTTTCTAATTCTAGCAGTATCTGAGCTCAGGACTGGCTTTCTCTCTAACCTATTGGTAGCTAGCAAAGATACTTTCTCTAGATAGACAAAGCACTTCTTGCAAGTCGCTCTGGATAAGAGCGTCTGCTAAATGCTGTAAATGTAAATGTATAACTTCAATTTCTTTTTAATGATCATCCACTAGCAAAACAGCAGCATAACAGCAAAACACTACATAACTTCCTGTATATTTTCCAGCAGCCTCTTGACTCACCCTGCTGGCGATTCAGTGATACTGCACAATATTGCACTGAACACATTTTCTCCTTGTGTAAAATATTTTTTCACCATGGAACCAAAAGAAATACAATAGTCAGGCAGCTGATAAATGTGACAGTATTAACTGTATGTATGTGAGTCAGTTCTGGATGAAACTGGATGAAATGGGAAGCATTCTAAGTTCTTCCATCATTCAGCATGTAGGTGCTTGGACCTACTCCCTTATCAATTGTCATGGGGTCACTGAATTTCTTTTACTCTGTAGGAACTTGCAAGGGATTCCTGACCCAAACTGTTGCCTTCCTGAAACTGAGGAACCCGTGCACCATGTTTGCAGTCTGTGCACACCTTCATTCTTTGTTGGTAGTGAGACACTTTCTGGTGAACGGCAGTGTCAGTTCGCAAAGCAAGGAAGAGGATGGTAGAACAGTCGATCTACTGCGCATCTGCGCCCCGTAAAGAAGCTCAAAGGGTGCAGCACCAGTTGTGGCATGAGGCATAGACCGATAGCCAAGTCAGTGATTGCAGTTTTTAAAGATTGGTTCTGCTGGACGGCCAGCTGGATTGTGTGCTTAAGCACATAGTTGAACCGTTCAACAGCTCCATTCAGAGCAAGGTAGTAAAGTGAGGATTGGTGATGGCGTATTTGCTTTTCTTTCAGGAAAGTTGTAAAGTAGCACTTAGAGGGTGCAACTTATCGACTAAAAATGTTGGACAAGTAAGTTATTACATTGGACATAGTAACAGTGGACGTAAAAGCCACCTTAGGCCACATACTGTAATAGTCTGTTAAGGTCATTGCACACCTACAGCCCCAAGCACCAAATGGGCCTACAATGAATATAGTTGTTCTAGCTGTTTTGTCATTCAGCTGGCACGTTTGGCAAGAACTGATGGCAACATTGCCAAGTGCATCCATTTTGGGCCACCAATAGAGTTGACAGAGCTGCTGTTTGGTGCTCTGCTCGTGCACATTTACACATCTCTCTGTGAACTGTTTAAACATGCAGTTCATGTTGAGATGATTATATGAGGCTTCCTTGTTTTGCAGTTTTTTCTACAGTCAGAGTGAATAATGTTAATATTACAGCACTGTTTAACCTTTGAGTGATGCTCTGGTTTCGTGTTGTCTCTTTAGTGATTTATAGGTTATTTTTTATATAGGATGTTTTTTCTTTTTGCAAAACAAGATGGCTGAATATTATCAAATTCAAATTATAATAAAATATCTCATCTGCTTTCAGACACAAATGTGGTATGCATTGAAAGTCTTCCACACAGTTTCTCCATTTCAATGAGCTCTGAGTAAGAAATAATTAAAGAAAATGTAATGTAGGCCATGAGGGACCCCTGGAGGGCTTAAAGTTCAGTCAGAGCAAGAACAGTGTTGTAATTATTTAATTCTCTCAATATGTTCGAGTGTTTCTTTGACATACTCCTTGCTCATCTACATCTTTTCCCATCTCATTTTTCTTGATGTGACCTAAATATTCAGGTCTTTGCAAGGCCTCTGGTGTATGTTCGTGTTTTCTGAAGATACTGGAGTTTGCCTGGCTTGTGAAATGTCCGTTTCCTGGGGTATAGAGTACAGTGAGTACGGTTGGTTTCAGTTTGAGGGGCCTACTGAAACTAGGGGTGGGCAATATGGCAATATTTTATCATTATTGTGGTAAGTTATGTCAGTGTGCTTTTCTGAGCATATCATAGATATCATCAGTATTTAAAGAATGCTGATTAACTGCATGCATCATTACAAGGAGAGCCTAATTAATCCTGCTGAATCAGATAATCATTGTAGTTGTAGGTTTATTATAGCATTTTTGTGTGTTGCACTACAGATTGTTCCAACTTATCAAATCTCAAGAAAACAATATTGTGATACATGTTGTGTATTGTGGAAATGTCTTGAAATATTGTGGTATTATATTTTTGCCATATTGCCCATCCCTAACAAAGTTGGCTGTAATGGCCGTAGACGGAACCATACCCTTGCAGATGAGGCTTGAGTTAAAAGCTTTAATGCCAAAAGGATGATCCTAGAAAAGAAACATATAGTCGAAAACCAGAGATCCAAAACTTAGCAAAGGGGCCAGACAAAAGCAAGGCCATAAACGGAAAATAGGTCATAATGAAAACATGGTAACAGACATGAATGAATGCTCAGTATGCACAACAAGGGGACGATATGGGATTTAGAAGTCCAGGGAAGCTGAGCGTTGATAGGTGGATCTGGATGAGTCCTGAGTCATATGTTGGAGTGAGGGGTTCTAGGAATTGTAGTCTGAGGAGGCAGAGTTGACTGTGGTTTAGCCGGGCCGGAGGGATTGTGACATTGGCCTGGTCTGTGGAATAAATCATGGGTTCTGGGGTCTGTAGAGACAGACATGGCCTTCTGAGATATCTAAAATAAGCCATGGTTCACTTTTGGTCTGTTGTACTCTCTGGATTAGGTTGAGGTTTCTGAGGTCTGAAAAAAGTAATGGTTTCTGGAGTCTACAGGTTAGGTTTTTAGGGTCTCTAGAATAAGTCGTGGTTTTTGGGTCTTTGGAGTCTCTTGTAGTATAAAAGTTTGTGGGTCCAATAGAGTTTTGAGGGGATCTGCAGACCCGGGTCATGCTCCAACCTAACTCACAACACATAAGTATGAAAGAAAAAGGTGGACTGCCTGGCAGGCCCTGGGGACCAGGTGGAGAAACACTGCTCTGAAGTAAGTCTAAGTTTGTAGAGACTGGCCTGGCTTCTGAGGTCTCCAGAATAAGTCATGGTTTCTGGGGTCTATAGTGACTGGCCTGGCTTATGGGGTCTCCAGAATAAGTCATGGTTTCTGTGGTCTAAAGTTGCTGTGACAAAAGAACTTCATACTCCACCACCTGCAGTCTGATCAGGTCTGATCTCACTTTTTAGACCAGTAAAATCTGAGAAACAACCGAAAGTGAAAAATCAGAGTGTGATAGGATTATTAACTATGTAGAGTTTATAGAAGCTGCGTAACTGTATTTCCCATATTACATTGTCATATATCAGCAAAATTGCGCCAGAGCCCTATTTTATATGAATAAACTGAATGGGTTCACACCAATGTTAAGTAACATTAGCAAGCTTACAGACACTTGCAAAAAGAACAGACTGGTTTCAGGATGTAATGACATGTTACTTTTCCTCACAACAACAGATGAGTTGTGATTTTGTCTTGGATTATGTTTTGGCCCCTGCCTACACCAATGACAATGTTTTTTTTTTTTTCTAAAGCATCATGTACTTCTGTCTTGCCTTCACCTCTCCTGCGTTACAGTATAACTGTATTAGAGATGTAATTATTATTCTTTTTTTATCACCGGTGCATCCACTCATATGAACCATGTCAATGTAGCTAAATGACAGGACTGACAGCTAGAAATCAAAATCATAATATAGGAAATAGTATATTGTATTAAAGAGTAATGGTTGAAATAACCAAATAAAATTTGCTTGTTTTTTATAAGTTTGTTGTACCTTTCTCTACCCTTGGCTTGAGCATTTTAGCTTTAGGTAAAAAAAGTATAAAAGAGTTGCATTTTAGCAATTTCAGTCTAAATGCTTTCACATATTTTCAAATTCATCATTGTTAAACAGGATCCTCAGAGCATTCTCTGTGGTGTTTGAAGTGCAGGGCAGTACAGCAACGTGAAACTGACAAACAATATTTGTGAAGCACAGACACTTTATGAAACCCTTAAGCTGTCTAAGTGAAGTCAGTGCTCAAAGGTTCCCACAGGTTTACTCACCTGAGGTTCGACCTTCCACTCTACGTCGCCCCGATTAACCTGTCCTCTCCCGTAGAACGTGTACGCGGAGTAGACAGGGATCCTGTTCCTCGTGTCGTACAGAGTGACAAATCTGTATTGATTATTAAAGCGCTGACAAATCTGCTTATACCGTTGTCCCTGTTGTAGAATAGTTGGGGTGATCACGTCATTCTGATTTTGGGGGTCTGGGATGAAGAACTGAGGACATTTACTTCCAAAAGACTGCACAACCTCAGGCGCGGCCAGTGAGGTGAAACCCAGCAGCAGGAGCACAGTGAGGAGCTTCATCCTGAGAATCAGAGCTCTGTCTGAGGAGAGCAGCAACAGAACAGGGAAATAAATAGAGAACATCTCAAAGGGAGGAGGAGACAGTGGCTGCACTGTGACCTGCTGTGGGCTAAACTGATGGAAGGAGGAGGAGCACCTCAGCTGACAGTAATAGAGTCCTGTCACTCCTTTTTCAAAGCAATGATTGTTTAAGAAAATTATTATTAATCTCCAGTCTGGGTCCTGAATCAGTAGGGAGTGGGGGGTTGTATCATTGCCACTCTTTTTCCTCACTCCAGGACCCGTACTCTTCCTGTGTCAGGAAATGGCAAAGTTGACAGGTTTGGGATTTTTCTGCTGAATCTGGCTCAATTAAAAACATAGTCTTGGATGAAAATGTTAAAGTCGTGTGGTGCAGTTTTTTTTGGGCTACTCAGAAAATGCACCACAGCTGCCAACAAGATTGACTGCAGATAGTAGACAATGGAAATGAATGGTCTAAAGAGTGTATATTGATCCTGGTTTAAATAACTGGAAAAATAAAAACAGACAAGCAGGTGTAGACTACAGCTGGGAGAGATGGAGAGAAAGAGAAACAGAGGAGAGAGGGTGAGGGGCAAGTAAAAGCGAGTTGTAATATAGCCTAAATTCAATAAAATTGTTCTTACTTCGGAGAAACAATGACTGCAGTAAAGTAAAAATACTTAGAATGGATTTAGGCCCAAAACGAATTAGTAACTAAAAGCTGGATTCTTTATCTCATAAGTTTAACAGTAAAAGATTTTATACAGTACTGTGCAACAGTCAACCATGAAATGTGGCTGAATACTAGATGGCTCTCTGTGAGACATAAGCATTGTTTCAGTGCAGAGAGCCATTTGAGAATCAGCCTAGGTGTTGGGTGGTAACTGTGAATACTGGCCTTCCTCAAGGAGACGTTTAGAAATGGTTATGCAGATATAATTGTCATGGATTCTTGATTTGTGTATGTGTGGTGTCAGTTAATTTAACAACCCCCTGTACTGTGTTGGTCCAGTGGTAACTGTGTCCCTGTAGGGAAAACACACCTTGGGGAGGTACTGCACTGTTTGACTTGCCCTATCAAATGACTGCCTCCTGTATTTTATATCTGAGCCCTTTGCTAGATATGATCCAGTAACACTAGAACACGTCTGCAGTGCTGTAAAACACTATATGAATAAAAAGATGATGAGTCTCTACAGGCTGTTTATAAACTGTTGAACTAGTCAAACGCTTTAAGTGCTAGTAGTACCCAGCATCCTCTAGAGAAACCTACAATAAACCACAAAGACAGGAGCATATTTTATTTAGATTATTCATCCTTTAGTTCTTAATAAAAATGTGCTGCTTGCAACTGTTCCCCAAAACCATCCCAGCTCAGTCACACCATGCTAGTCTGAACTACAGCAGCTCCACCTGTGTTATTCAAGGCACTTCACCATGTCTGTGAACAACAATCTAACTTAATGTATCATGAACAGATGTGAAAATAAGGCTTTAATGGAAGGATTTGTTACTTAACCAGTAATATGACCTATAATGCATATGCCTGGCTAAGCTACATTTACTGTGTATAAAAAGGTGATACATTCTATAAAAAAAATATAGGTTCTGATTAAAGTAGCATCACAATCACAATCATTCTGCTGCACTGGTAGCTCAGTGTGTTAACACTGCAGAAAAAAGTCAACATGACAGTGTATATATATATATATATATATATATATATATATATGTTTCTGTAGTGAAGTTTATTTAACGTGACTTATAGTAAATAATGTAACGTATTCATCACAGTTTTGAAGCGCCTTGTCCAGGGGCTCAACCAGGTATACAAAGTCACTCCTGGTACCTGAACCTGCAACCTTCCAGTTGCTAAGCTCACCTTTTCTACCACTATAGCTGCTGTCCACGTTGTGTTGTCACATTGTACACATATCTGATATATTAAGGAAGATTGATTTTACAAGGCTAAATGTCTCACATTTCTGGTGATATAGCAAGATGTTAGTTTCACCTGTTTTAAATGTTGTTTCTGCACTAGAGCACATTGCATATAACATATTGAACAAAGAAAACATATTTTGGCCAAACAACAGTATGGACCCTGCGGGATATGGCCACATCACTGTGCAGACCAATGCACCAAGCACCAGCACTTCAACATGGAAGATGGAGCTCTTCATAACAGCAGCTTCGTAACATCTGGCAGAGCCCACCTTTACAGTAATGTATCCTACTGCAATCTACTGTGTGTTTTTCAGTTTAGTTTTACTTCTGAAACTACATTTCAGAAACAAAAGTGTTTGGAAGTTCTAGTTTTCAGCACGTGAATATTCTGTACCCTTTTTTTCAGCGGGCTCCCGAGTGGCTCAACCGTCTGAGTGTTGGCTCTGTCATCATGAGGTTACAATCCCTGGTGATGCTACAGCAGTCCATGTCTGGGAGCCCAAGTCGCTCTCTTTGGGTGGCCTCCCTCCTCCCATCATTCAGTGCAGGCGTCTGTTAACTGACGTAACAGAACTGGTGGTCAGTGTCTCCTCTGAGCGTGTTCAGCTGTACAGTGACGCTGCAATAGCGACAGTTCGAAAACATGCAGCTTCACAGCTGGTGGAATTATGTAATTGAGGGAGATCTGACTAGTGGGTAGAACTGGATACGACTGAATTGGGGAGAAAATTGGAAAAACCTTTAAAGAAATAAAATGCGATATACAGTGCTGCTTTAAAGGGAGATCTGATCACAGTTTAGTTCAGCTCAAATATAATTTGATTTAGGACTGATCGCAATTCAATTCAGCTCTGATACAATCAAATACGGGTTTGATCCAGTATGATTCAGTTCAGCGCCAATTTGATCAGATTCACATGTGATCCAGTATGATTCAGTTCAGCTCCAATTCAATTCAGGTGAGATCCAATATGATTCAGTTCAGCTTTGATTCGATTAGATTCAGGTTTGATCCAATAGGATTCAGTTGTGATCTAATATGATTTGGTAAGCAGCACATTTTTATTAAGAACTAAAGGATGAATAATCTAAATAAAATATGCTCCTGTCTTTGTGGTTTATTGTAGGTTTCTCTAGAGGATGCTGGGTACTACTAGCACTTAAAGCGTTTGACTAGTTCAACAGTTTATAAACAGCCTGTAGAGACTCATCATCTTTTTATTCATATAGTGTTTTACAGCACTGCAGACGTGTTCTAGTGTTACTGGATCATATCTAGCAAAGGGCTCAGATATAAAATACAGGAGGCAGTCATTTGATAGGGCAAGTCAAACAGTGCAGTACCTCCCCAAGGTGTGTTTTCCCTACAGGGACACAGTTACCACTGGACCAACACAGTACAGGGGGTTGTTAAATTAACTGACACCACACATACACAAATCAAGAATCCATGACAATTATATCTGCATAACCATTTCTAAACGTCTCCTTGAGGAAGGCCAGTATTCACAGTTACCACCCAACACCTAGGCTGATTCTCAAATGGCTCTTTACACAACATAGGGCAGCCAATACATATATCTAACAAGAAGACATTTGGGATTCAGCCACATGCATGCAATTCCCAGCTGAACATGCATTGTGCTATACAGATCAGGTCTATTTTATCTAATCAGTCCTTCATTACATTAAGTTAAATCAGGTGCTGCTGATGGAATTTAATAAATCCATGCAATGGCTGGAGTTCACTGAGAAGACCTCTTATTGTACTGTGGTGTTTGCGTACAGGAAGACACAGGGAAGGCCATGATTCTGCTGTGAGAAGTGTTCTTTCATAAATACACCAGCAGAAAGGCAAATACAGAGCACGGAACTCAAGGAGGAGATCACAACCAGCTGTAGACTTTCATCCCATGTTTACCAGCCCCAGCACAAAACACATACACCCCCTGACACAGACTAGCACAATATATACATACACATACCTTAGACTCACAGAACAACAACATTACAACATTAATTAGTCCTTTTTAGAAGGGTGCGTTCCTCTCCCATGAACACTCCTCACAAGGCCTCCAGCTTGTGCCAAGTTCCTGGGGATGTGCACAGTCTTGGCCAGCACAAACACCGTGGACTGTACTTTCTTTTTTCCTAATCTTCAATTCCCCCCAATCACACGATACCACCAGCTCTAGGAGGGCAAAGGCTAGCACAGGCTTCCTTCAAGTCCTGTGAAGCCAACCACCACATTTTTTTGAACTGCCGCTGACGCGTCATCAAACAGCTGAACGCGATCTCCTGATGACGGGGCCAACGCGTAAACAGTTGCGCCACTCGGGAGCCCCTGGACTATACTTTTGTTCCTGCACAGCAAGGAGTGACTGCAGTAACAAAGGCACTCCACCTGGCCGCCACACGCCTTCTCTGTCATCCACCACACCGTCGATGCTGGCGTGAGCACTGCGACTGTGTGCTGGGGCCCGATGCTCGATGATGGTCACCTTCCTGTCATTTAACGTGTCTTTCTCGGTGTGCGTTAGCACAGCAGGGATATGTAGCGTTGGTCACAGTAGGGATATTGGTGAGCCCAATGATAGCAAGCATGATGAGCTGTCTGCCATCCATGCCGCACTTGACTCACAGCCACCACTGAACCTGCAGGCCGGCATTCCCTCTACCCGCTGTCCCAGGCTTGTGTCACCCCCAAGACAGCATTCGTCCTCTACAACTTTGGCACACCAACACTGCTGGCCGTGGCACTTCTAAGCTGAAACTTTTGATTGTTTTGTTTTCACTTTCGCCGGCCTTTTTCATGCCAGCACCGCTGTTGTGCCTCACCATAGTGACAAACCCCCAACACAAAACACCCCCTTGCCCCGACACAAAATAGCACAGTAAACACATACACATACCTTAGACTAACAGAACAACAACATTAACAGCATTAAATAGTCCTTTTTAAGAGTATCCATGCATGGTTGCTCACATGGCCATGCCCCTGAAGCTTCTTGGAGGCAGCTTCAGCCAGTAGTAGGTTGCTACAGTATTCTTCTAACCTATATGTTTGTAACTGGCAAAAACATTCTGTTCAGATAAATTGTTTTGAAGAATTTTCCTGGCTGCCCTAGTCTTTTGCACAGTACTGCACTGTTTTTTTTTACTATTGAAGTAAACTTATGTTAAAAGGAATCTAACTTTCAGTTATTTTTTGTGCTTAAATTAATTGCAAGTACTTTCACTTTACTGCAGTCGTTACTTCACCAAAGTAAAAATGACCTGTTCCAGGCTACATTATAACTTGTAGGCTAGCTTTCAATTACCCCCTCTCTTTCAGGAGGTATGCTGTACCTACCTGTTTGTCTTTAGCGTTCACAGCTATTCAAACAAGAATCAATGTACTGTAGTGACTTGCGACTGGCTGGTGCTGGCCTCTAGAAGCTTGTGAGGCATGGCCATACCGATGGCCATACCGATGGCCATACTGGAGTATCATGGGTGGCACGCACCCTCTGGAAAAGGTTCTCGTTGTTGTTGTTGTTTTTTTAGTTTAAAGTATGTGTTTATTGTGTTATTTTGTTGGGGGGTCACCAGTGCTAGGAGTACAGGTGCTGAATGTCATTTCACTCAGTCTCAATAGTTTGTCAGTACATTCAGATCTTCAGCCAGATGTTGGTTCTGATCTGGGTTGGCAGATGGTTTCTTGTAGTTAGATGATGTGTTGTTAGCTAGGAATGTACTCTTCCGCTTTTCAGAGTAGTTCTTTTCAGCTGCTTCTTAATTCCATTGTCAGTGTGTTTCTGGCCTTTTGTACTGGACCTTGTCTCCTCATCTGTAGGCTCCTCATCTGTATCTCCTTATTCTGTGGCAACTGTCAGAGTTTAGCTGTGAATAATGGTTTGTCATTTTTTAAATTTCTTGCAGGTTCTGGTGGGCACATGTTTCTTCACAGAAGCACAGAATATCTATTGTGACACCACGATTTTTTACAGATGAACCTGACGCAACTGAGAAACTTTTAAGTGTTAAATTAGACAGTTTGTTTCTAGGAGTGCTCTTTCCTGTGGTGAGTCACTGAATACGTTGCCTGTACTTGGAAAGTTAGTTGCAAATATTTGCTGTCTCGAAGTCCCCTAAAATAATAAGTTGAGAGTCTGGATGATTCTGTTTCATGTGGTTAATTTGGCTGCTAAGAAAATGAAGTGCTTCTCTCAGGCAGGCTTGCTGTCGATTGTAAACAATGACCAGCATGAATGATGAAAACTATTGTGATGAATAGAATGGTCCACAGCCCTAGACATATTTTTATTAAAACACATGCATCAGTGCACCAACCTTTGTTTACGTAGAAACAAACTGACCGCCATCTTTTAGCTTTCCCATTAGCTCAGATTTGCGGTCAGCACGGTACAGTTGCAAACCAGGTAGGTGATCTGCACTGTCAGGAGTTTGGTCAGATAATCAGTGGATCCTGCAGAAAGACAGTGATCTAATGACACCAGTTAGTCCCCAAAGAATGCTTAAAGCAGAAGAAATGTTGCATTTTGAAATGGCTTAGTCAAAGTCCAAACATTAATCCAGTAGAAATGTTGAAGAAAACCTGAGGTGTGGCATTTGTTCAAGAAAGCCTGCCAACACAACACATTAGAAGCAGTTCTATAAGGAGGAAATGGACAAGAGTCCTCCAAATCAGTGTGAGGGCTGATCAACAGTTGAAGTCATTGCTGCTCAAGGGGGCCACACCAGTTCCTGAAAGCAAAGGTTCTCATACTCTTGCCAACAAAGACATTTAATGTTGGATCACTTCGTTCAATAAATGGATGAACAACTTTGTAATTGTTTATTATTATTTGTTTTATTGGGTTCTTTCTCTACTGCTATGATTTAAATAAAGATCTTATTTTAGGTCAACATTTGTGTAGAAATTCAAAGAATTCTAAGGGGTTTACAACTTTGTCAGCACCACAGTAGTTAAGAAGTTTCATTGGATGCACCTCTAGTAATAGGATCTAAGATGTAATGTTCTGGTTTGTCATAGAAAAGGGTCTTCAACCCGAGCCGACTTATATGAAAATGACACATCATTACTGTCCGGTAAGGTCTGTCTTTCCAAAAGACAGGGGTTAATATGGCATTTCTTTCATGGCTCTTATCAGTTGGTATTTATGGGGCTTTTCTTGACCACCTACAGAGTGTCCACCCAGATATAATTCACTGTATAATATTTAGCATGGTAGACACCACCCAGGCATGAGAGTGACCAAGCAGTCACATCTGGTGCTACATGATTGTGGCCTCTATGCTGAAGTTGCATAAAACATCTTAAGTTTAATTTTCCCTTAAAATTACTCTTAAGTTTGTTATAAAGTAAAATGTGTTGCACAAAAAAGGGTATTACTGACGGTCTTTCTAATGTGAAATTGTCATACATGATACACCGACTTTCCCTTAAGTAATACCTCAAGCATTGTTAAGTTCCTTAACTGTCATTTTCCTCAGGACAGTTTAGGGTAAGGATAATGCTCCCTTTAAGATCTTGGCCAGTGTGAGAAGCTGAAGTTATGGCTGTGGTTTGGAGGTGCTTCATGTGTTTTACTCAATGTAGGGTTTGGTGCTGAAGAAAATAATGTCTTCAAATATATAGATAAATCAATATTTTCTACACCGATAACATGATAACGTGACTGGGTGTTGTGAGTTGTGTTAGCCCACCTAGCCTGCACAGCAGCAGCCAAGAAATCAGAATTTTTTTCAGAAAAATATTAAGGTTGTGAGCAGCCATGCAACACATTCCATATATATATATATATATATATATATATATATATATATATATATATATATATATATATATACATATATATTTATTAAAAGAGAGATTTTATTTTCAGATATAAGCTTTACTCTGTGCTCCACTCGTACAGAGACTGATAAACGTCATAGTTAAACTTGGCTAAAACCCACCTCCTTTGTGAGGAAAGTGATTGACATGTAAAAAGGCCATGAAAATAGGCAGGTAAATGCAGATAAAACATTAAAAAATACATGCCTGAATTAGTATTTTTATTTACGTCAACTGTATTACGTGTTCATGACACATTTCCAATGGAGTTTTCATGTAAAGTTTAAGACATTGTGTATGTTTGTATGTCGTGAGTATAATCTTCACAGCCTCTGCCATGATGTCCATGCTGGGAATACCGAGCTGCTTCTTCTTGTAGCTGCTGAGTTGTTGGTGTGACGTGGTGCCGTAAAGCGTTACACAGTTCTGGCTAGCGGTTCTCATGCTGCTCCTCCAAAGTTACATAGCGCTATGGCAGGTGTTGTAGCCCAGAGTGACAATGACAGAGATGCACTTGCCCCCCATTATAAGTCAGGGTACCTTGAAAATTATTTTGCCGTTGTTACTGTCACGTAAAATTGTTACATAATCTTGCTTTAAGGGAAAATTTTAAAGTGTATTATGCAACCAAGCACTGGTTTCGTGTTTCAGCATCTCGTGTTTCAGCAACGTGGTGGTGGTGTGTTAGTGTGTGTTGTGCTGGTACGAGTGGATCAGACACAGCAGTGCTGCTGGAGTTTTTAAACACTGTGTCCACTCACTGTCCACTCTATTAGACACTCCTACCTTGTCAGTCCACCTTGTAGATGTAAAGTCAGAGACGATAGCTCATCTGCTGCTGCGCAGTTTGTGTTGGTCATCCTCTAGTCCTTCATCAGTGGTCACAGGACGCTGCCCACAGGACGCTGTTCAAATCAAATCAAATCAAATTTATTTGTATAGCGCTTTTTACAACTGATGTTGTCACAAAGCAGCTTCACAGAAATCCGTTTAGAACAAAGTTTCAACATGAAATGTAAATCCTCCAGGTGAGCAAGCCAGGAAAAACTCCCTCAGAGCTGAGGAAGAAACCTTGGGAGGAACCAAGGCTCACATGGGGGGACCCATCCTCCTCTGGTCAAACTACGTACAAAATTATTATTCTACTAATATTAATAGTAGTAGTAGTAATAGTTAGGAGGTAGTAATAGTTAGGAGACTTCAGTGTAGAGTGGGCAGCCAGTCCAAGGCAGGTGGCGGTGACTGGGTTGTGGGTAACTGGTCTGAAGCGGGTAGCCGGAGAGCTCTACAAACAATCATCCAGCAGTGTCCGGCCGGACAGGTGGGCAGTCGTTTACTCGGAAGAAAGGTAGGGAAATGGAGTTAGTTTAGTTCTGTATGGGTGTATGTATAGTAGTATGTAAAACATTTCCAGAGTGTGGCTAACGACTCTGGCAGATCTGACTATAACAGCTTAACTAAAAGGAGTGAACCAAAAGGGCACACAGACACGGGAGCACCCTGAGACAATCTGGCATCCCTCCGCTCCACCGTCCACAAACCTGAGTGTTTGCGTGTGAGCGGCGGGACGACAGCAGCGTCTCAGTTTACTATAATTCCCTGTGTCCATGGACCCCTGGATCTGCTGCCTTTATCCAAGGGGAAACATTAGCTACCAAAAGCTAAACTAAACAAGTGAGTTTTCAGCCTAGATTTGAAGATTGCGACTGAGTCTGAGTCCCGAACATTTTCTGGAAGATCATTCCAGAGTTTGGGGGCTTTATAAGAAAAGGCTCTTCCCCCAGATGAAACCTTCTGAATTCTGGGAACTATTAAAAAGCCAGCACTCTGTGATCTGAGTAATCGTGGTGGCTCGTAATGGGAAATAAGGTCTTGCAGGTACTCAGGAGCCCATGTAGGGCTTTATACGTCAATAAAAGAATTTTGTAATCTATACGGAATTTAACAGGCAGCCAATGGAGTGATGATAGAACTGGACTGATATGATCAAATGTTCTAGTTTTAGTGAGAACCCTGGCTGCAGCATTTTGAACTAGTTGAAGTTTACTTAAATTCCTGCTGGTGCATCCTGACAGTAATGCGTTACAGTAATCTAGCCTTGAGGTAATAAAGGCATGTACTAATGTTTCTGCATCGTGCAGCGATAAGGCATTTCTTATTCTGGCGATATTGCGAAGATGTACAAAAGCTGTCCTAGTGATGCTGCCTATGTGTTGATCGAATGATAAATCTGGATCGAGTATTACACCAAGATTTTTTGCTGCTGAACCTGGTATAACTGGAAAGTCAGCGAGATTTAAAGTTAAATCTGATAATTTATTTCTTGCCACTTTTGGACCCAGAAGGAGAACCTCTGTTTTGTTGCTGTTTAGAAGGAGGAAGTTACGCAACATCCAACTTTTCACATCTTTTACACAGTCCTCTATTTTCTTTAACCTGTATTTGTCATCAGGCTTGGCTGATATGTACAGTTGCGTATCGTCTGCGTAACAGTGAAAGTTAATGCCATGGCTACTTATAGCTGTGCCTAACGGTAACATGTATAATGTAAATAATAATGGTCCTAAAATAGAGCCTTGCGGAATTCCAAATCTTACTTGTGAATAATTGGAAGATGAATCATTTACCTTTACGAACTGAT